GGGGAACCGTTTTAAAAGTCCTGCCGGCATACACGCACTGTAATATTCTTTCAAGCTCAAAAAATTTATCCATATAAAATAAAACACAAAAAACAATATTTTAGGAAGCTGAAAACAAAAAAATCACAAAACCATGCCTATTTATCTTTTCATTGAATCGGTTCAATGTTTCTTTCATCTTGTAATCCAATTGCTGTATATGATTTTGCTCACCTTTTGGATTACAATACGCACTTGCCATCACATGCTTTATTTCCGACTCATCTGCATTCTCATCCAAATTGAAGCATTCCCTGACCACAGCATCACCTGACATTTTATATGTTTTTACTGATAAAATTCATCTTCACTTTTCTTTATTATGGACTTATTCCAACATTTCAATTTAATCCATTTCACTTTGAACTGTTCATAGAAATTAGGATTGGCAGAAAAACATCCTTTTCTATAAATGCATACCACATTTCCGAAGCGCTTTGATCTCTTTCTTTCTCTGCCTATCAGCTTCCTTCCGGATGAGAATATCTGCCACGCCAAGAGTAAACCCATGATACTATAATTGAATAATAGAAAATATGTTTGAACTAAAATATTACACTGATTAACCATGGAATTAACAAGTAATGTTATAAAATCTAATACAGAAAAATAAACGGCATACTTCAAAAAAATAAGAATCATAAGAAAAACCTGCAAATAGGTTGTAAAAAGACGTGAGAAACAGCTTAATATTTTTGTCGCATATCGATGACCATAAAGGTCCCAACAACAATGTATCAATCCGTATTGTGTACTTCCATAATGTTGTTTATCTAATACTCCTACTAACAATTCGGCTTGCCTATAAATTAAGAAAAATCTATTTTATAATATAAAATAGAGTTACTGAGAGTATTGACAGATCAAACTAGTTCTATGATTTGAAACTGAGAACAAAAAAAAAGTCTTGATATTTTATCACTACATAAATTTATGAATTTTCTTCGCAACAAACATAATTTTAGAAATAGTTGAAAAAATCAAATTGGTCAACTTCAAATTAATTAACACCGATATGAATCAGTAAAATAATTTGTAGCAGCAATGTAAATAAAATAAATAATTATGTTTCTATACAAATCTCTAATTTCAGTAGCAGGCTCTAATTTCAAAATGAATGTTATGGAAATCGAAGTTAAACTAATTAATTCGATTAAGCAAGGAAGTTTCCCTGAAATAAAATAGGGTAAATAATGCACCTGAAAATAACTTCTGACTCACTCATATCGAACTTCGGTGCAGGATGCTCCTCAACTTTCCAACATGAAAGTGGCGTCTTCGCCTTACTCCTTATATTCAGAAGCGGTTTATGCAGAGGAATGCAATTTCTTAGTATGGTACTGATTATCTGAAATTATGCGAAAAACTGACTTTTGTACTCCATCCTCTTTCTAAAATTTCAACTGGGAACTTAAAATCATGAGCTGAATAAGCTATTCTTCTATGATATTATTCTTTTTCCTAGCGTCAAGGATCTTCAGAGCAACAATTAATAAATCCTTATAAGGTTAAAGCAAAGTTTCACCTGTTTTCCACTCCATAAAACCTGAGGTTTTAGCATAGTTGGAGGTGGAATGACCAACCGCTGCGTAGTTTCAGCAAACGCCGAGAGCACCAAATGCATAAAATCTTCTTTATTGAAAAATCGTCCACGTATTGTTAACAAAACTCCTGATACTATGTGATCTTGGATCAAACCCAATAAGGGTGTTCCATCTTTTGGTACCAGAAAATTTGACCCCACATTAGCTAAAAATTTGCTTTTTCACGCTGAGGGCTAACAATTTAATCATCTCCATATTTTCTTTTATAGTAAATTTCAAACATCGTATATTGACTCAATTTTTCATTTCTTGATGGTAATGAGTTAAACAGATTTTAAAGTCAAAATTAAAATGAGTCATCGAAGTTATTTTAGAACTTGTATCAAATGAAAATCTCGTCTCTTAGCATGATATGCAAGATAATCCTTATCAAACATTGGTAAAAAGTGAAAAAGTTATTTCAGAAATGTTTCAAACACTGAAAAAGAGAACTTACCAATTTCTGCAAGCTCGGTCTGCGCAATTCGATTTTGCACAAAATGTCCATTCATTTCATCACCATCAAAGTCAGCATTGTAGGCTTTACAAGGTGCATAATTCATGCGTAGCGCTCGCTGATTTTTAAGCACCCGAGCTCTATGACCCATCATAGAAGGTTTGTGCAGAGATGGTTGCCGATTCATTAGCATTAAATCACCTTTATCTAGATGTCGCAGAACCTAGAACTTATAGATTATCGTCTATAAATACAGACTCCAATAAAAGAATTAAGAGCTACAAGTCTATTTTATTACGATGTGGTGCATGTCTTTTAAGATAATACGTAATTTCATAAAAATAACCTGAAGAGGATAACCAAGTTGAGAACTGCTACCCGGCTGAAGACGCTTTGCAGCAGCATCACGTTCATTTGCTTTATTTATTGACAAAACTTGTGTATATCGTCCTGGTTTTTGAATAAAATTTGCACTGGAAAAGTTCAAATATAAAAAACTGCAAAAATAAGTTAAACATTTTTGATAAGATCCTCACATGATTTTCAAAAAATTAATAATTTTTCATATTTTCAAATAAAAGTAATTCATACCCAGGATGGAAACTTGGACCATTTTTTATCATTTTTCGTAATTTAGCTAAATTCATAGCATTCGCAGTTTCAGTAACAGTAAGTTTCTTCGCAAAAAGCTCAGGTATACCAATTTCATCAATATCTAGGTAGGGATCTGGAGTGATTACAGAACGACAAGCAAAATTAACACGTTTGCCCATCATATTCATACGAAATAAGCCCTGAAATATGAAGCGAATGTCAAAATATGATAGCTGTTTTCTTCGCTTATTCTTTCAACTTCTTCGCTTATCCTGTATACTTCGCTTATTCTTTCAACTAATTTTTTTTTTTTGGAAAGATATGACAGTTCTGAGACAACTCAGAATATCTCACTAAGAATACTCTTCTGAATCAGTGACAATTTTTAATGCATTACTATTCGTATGCATGAAAAAAGTTGTGTAAGTGAAGTCTCATCAAACTATATCGTCTTCAAATTTAGTTCGTATCATTTGTAAAATATGGGTCAAGGAATTCAGCCGACAAAATGGTGAAAGAGAAATGAAACCTGTTTCTTCTCTAAAATTTGCTTGATACCGGGGACTTGAATTCTTACATCTGTCCACTTGTCTAGGTCTTGATCGAAAATGGCTCCCATACGCTGCTGCAGTGTCAAATATGCATTATGCATTTTGGCTTGCATTGTATTTCCTATGACGTTTTTTGATACCAAATTCTAAAATTTAACTGTTTTCATAAGTAACTGGAAACAAAAGAAAAACAAATAACAAATCAGTGAACAAGAGCATATCTCCATTCTAAACCGCAGAAAAAAAGTTTAAAAAATTTCTTACCAAAAGAGCTTTTTCATTGTTTCCAGATAATGCTAACCGAATGGCTCGAATTGTTTCTGAAGCTTCCAATAATTTCCGAAGATTAATAGTTTGTGGATTTTCATATTTATCACCTTTGAAAATTCGAACGGGCCGATACTTTATAGGTGGCACTGGTACTACTTCACAAAACAAAACGTCAAGGGGACAATACCTATCATCCTGCAAACAAATGTTATTATGAAAAAATCAAAAATGATGAAATTTAAAAATTAAGAATAGTGAAAAAGGGGAATAGAAAGCTTTTGATAAATAATTGTACATGCACAATGAAGTTATTGCATTCAAAAACCAATGTAAGCGTAATCACAATATTTAAAGAGATACATTTCGGAGATAAATACAAATCAAAAAAAAAATCAAGCTCATTCATAAATTAAAAGAAAGGAAAGAAAAATTACTTCAGAATCGAACAGGGGGAAAATTTTCCTCAGCAGAGGACCATCGTTTTGCCAAAGCATACGAAAATGTTCGCGAACTTCAGCACCTCTCCAAGCTAATTTATCGCATTTCCCACTTAGCACCCATTGCATTTGTTCTCCCAAAATTTGTTCTGATGAATTCGCTAATGATCCATAAGCAATCTCTTTGTCATCGAACTTTTTTTCATTTTCCTCTGTTTTCATATCCTCATCTGAAAATTTATAACTCTATTTAGTGTGTATAGAAGAATATTACATATCTCTTTTATCTTGTTATTATATTTTAGTAGTAGCAGCAATTATTTCTACAAGATTATTGTTTTTGGAAAGGTACATTATTGTTCATGGTAATCCCCAATTTAAAATTTACCGGCATCAATTTCCTGATCTTCGATATTTCCAATGTTTTCAAGAGGTGCAAAACGCGTCATCTGCTTAAGCTTTTTCATGCTATTCGTTCCACTAAAATCAATCAGAATGCAACGACCAGCATCGTTACGGATGATTCCATTACTTCGATTACATAGCCTACAGCGTCGTCGGCGTTTAAACTGCAATAAGGAAACAATTAATGTTCCTTTCAACCAATATTTAATTAAAAGTTTGTAGTCCAACTTTACATTATAAAGGGCTAAATCACTATCCTCAAACACATATTTTTTGAGACCTTAGCAATCTTCTTTCAGCATCCTCAATACAAAATAAAAAAGCAAGTAGTGAAGATCATTAAAAATGTATAACTATTATTGTTATAGATGACGTGGAAATTCAAAACATAAAAAACAATTAAAAGACTAACTCACAAGTTGCTCTTTACAAAAATCTCGAATCAGCGATCTTTTCAATTCCAGGGCATTTTTGACAGGGAAAGATTGATTCTTGTCAACGCCTGAGCCGGTCTGTTCAGTGAATTTATCAAGAAATTCGTCCAGTTCTTTGCATGCATTAATTTCATCTGAGAGAGCTGGTGCATTTCCTAAATTCAGCATTAAATTCTGTCGAAAAAAAACAGAAGAATGAAATTAAAAGTACTCCTTCGGAGCCTGTGTTCACTTAACTTGATCTGTTATAGTCATAATGTCCAGCATTTTAAATTTTAAAAATTATAGAAAGCGAACCGAAAAATTCCAATCTTTGAACTGGCAATTTTTTCAAAAACTTCCACTTCAAGAAATAATTTCAAAAATTATGAGTGGAAATCTGTGTTTTTTTAAGCAATTTCAAAACCAGATACTTTAAAAAAGAATATTTTATAATATTCTTTTTTAAAAACAATAATTCTTTATGAGCGTTTACTTATTAATGCTTTAAAATTTCCAAGAAGCAGATGAAGTGCTGCCTCAAAAACCGAAAAATAATTTCTTCGCCTACAATTAGATTCCACTCCCTAGAAAGCTCGTTTTATTTTATAATTTAAGAAAAAAAATAGAGGTGAACGAACCATGCAAAGTTCCAAGTCCATTTTCAGCAGAAAAATGATCCTTGATAAAACCACCAAGTTCTTGCGCAACTGAAACAAGACCAAGATCCAATGCTCGAAGCTGAGCCACCAGCAATTTCGCTGGCAAACCGGATGAATTGCACGTTAACTTGTGGCACTGTACACAAGTTCCATTCATTAACTAAAAGAGTTCATAGATAGATTGGCAAAGAAGTAGTTAACTCAATATCTAATTCTCAGTTCAATATCTGATTCCCTGAACATAAAAAAAAACCAGGATATTTCTAATATTATATCCAAATTAATAAAATATTGTGACGTTATGGTTGTTCAGCAATTGTATTTCTATATTCAAAATAATTATACGCGTCTCTCTCTATATGATTATTATACCTTATTATATTATTATTATACCCTGATATGATTAAACAAACTGACTGGAAGTAACTTCTGCTCGATTACCCAGCTAGCTCTTCAATCAGTTGCTGATTGAGCATTAATGTCAGTAAACCTGGATATGACTTACGGAAAAAGTGAAACCAAATAAGAGTGGATTGAATACTGGGACTTCGAGTTTGATATGACCCATGTGTCCTGGACAATAACTTCCTTGCTGATGGCATGTCTCACAGGTATCATATGTCTCTGACGGTCCCAGTCGCGAATCATACAGACCACCACTGATTGGATGTCCAATCTGAAATATGAAGGTTAAATTATATTAACTTTTTTTTTATAAACTAATAATCTAATTTGAAAATGACAGGATAATTTATTCGGAATCCGGGAAATGTAGCATTTTCATCTATAGAGCTATCTTGAATATTTTAAGAAATTAGCAAATAGGTAAATCAATTGTTGCTACTCCTACATAAAAATAGGAATAGCGATAAAATAAATGACATTTTACAAAATAAAATCAAATTAATATACTCTTTTACTAGCACCAAAATACAACAGCATCAACAATAGCTTAATTTACTTATTATAATTGGACATATTGAGTGATGTTTCTATCGCTCCATGTGCGTGTGCTTCTTACAATGTCTGAACATGCACTTATGAATTTAAATTCATGAAGTAATTCAATACGACTGGTTGTGTTGTTAAACTTACTTGCTTTCATGATTTGCTGTACAAATTTTTGATCATGTAGGTTATAGAGATTTTGTGATCTACTATGATTATGAACTTATCGCAACTCCAACTGCTGAGCTACGCTTATACAGTTTACAAAATGAAATTTTTAATAATATTCGAAAGATAAACCTCATCGAATGTTTTTGTTTCGGTAATCCTGAGAACGCTGATCCGCTCGATTTCATGTGATAAATAGCACCGTAACTGCAGTCGATCGAGTATCCTATAGGGCTCATGCCCTGGACTACATATATCTGCCATTGATCCTTAAAAGAGATGGAACATTTAAAACAAATGAAAAGGTACAGCTATGATAATAACTTATCCAACAGAGCAAATAAAACACCCTTTCTAAACCTCCATCTAGACATATATACTTAAAAATCAATGATGAAGTCAATTAAATGAAGAAAATGAAATTATTTTAGACAGTAAAAATGAATTAATAAAATCAATCAGTCATGGCACGTTTTGATTGTTTAACCTACAGTCGCAATAAATTACAATATGAAAAAACGTTGCCATTTGTGTTATACAAGCTCGAATAGCTATAGTGATCGTTGGAAGAATTATTCATTCCAGTCATTATTTCTTTTTTCACGAGGCAGTGCCCTCTTTAGCTTTTATTGTTTTTTCGTGTCCTTAGTTATTCCTCTCGTTCATAATAATTGCCTAATTATAATATTCCTTCGAAAATATAATCGACAAAGAATCTTATCATAGATTCTACTCCTGCTAGAACTATCAGATAATCTTTACACAACGCCTAAATCCTTGCCCTGAGAATGGTTTATTGCATATCGACCAAAATATCAGTGTATCACTACTTCGCGTTTTTAGCAAACCATCTCTGAACCGGCGGTCTTACATTGGTTTGCTAAAATTGTTACTGATATCGCTGGGTAACTACAATGGTAGCACACCGATAACACATTTTAGAAAATGGTGTCCGAACATGCGGCTGACGTTAGTTTGTTGGAATGCTCAGAGGATAATGTTGGAGTACTGTTTTTGTTCGGTGGCGTTGTTGTTTTGGTGATGTGACGGATCTTTTCCAGTCGTCGAATGTTATCATTAACGAAATTTCAACGAAGTTATGAGAAGAGAATTGAGGTGATAATGGCGCAGCTCATCTTACGACAGCAGGAGATCAGTGGAAATCGAAAAGTTTATTGTTTAGCCGATTAATACATCGACGATCTGTTTAGTGGTTAATTTCTGTAGAAAGCTTCATAACTGGCCGAAAATGGTAGCACATATATGAGAAGATAAATTTACAAAACAATAATGTGCTAATCGTTATTGCTACAGAACGGGTAATGCAGGACGAAAGTAAAGTCACGAAAAATAACTCGGAAGAGTTAACATCTTGACATTTAAAAATTTCGAACTAACAAATAGCAGTATTACTGATGTTGTATTTGTAGTATTGGTGATATATTTGAATGCTACAAATGCTAGTGCTTTTTTATGATAAAGTATTAAAGCTTTCCTGGTTATGAAAGTAACTTTACTAACTTCGACCTTTATAGTTAAGGAAATTGGATTAGGTAACATTGATATATAAATTATTCAGAATTGCCTGAGGCATTATCTGTACGAATGGAATTATAATAGCTTTTTGGAAATGTAGCAATAATATCTATCATTTCCAAGACCATTTGTCGAAAATTGGCGGGTGGCAACAATGCGTATGGACTAGCCGATGCTGCAACAATAAATTCACGGGAATATATGATGCAAACGTCCAGGCGGCCATTCTGACGACGTCGAGTAACAATCTTGCTGCCACCAGTGGGATCCGTATTCACAACACTGATCTGCAGATAAAATAAAACTGAAAGATGGATTCATCAGGCTTATTTCCTAATAGGTTAGAAAGAACTCTTCACTAAATGAATGGCTTTGTGCAAGCGGCAAAAAGTATCTGTCCGATGTGCTATCACTCTGCAGCAGATTTATTTGTCCTCAATTTTCATGCTGAATTCTATGGAAACGTACAATTTTTCCAGCAGATTGTGAATTTTTATTAACGGATAGAAATGATTGATTAGCTCGTTGAGGTGGCAGCCAGACTGGGCTCAGTTCACGAATACGAGATGGTCGTCGACGACGAGAATGTTCTTCATCGCTTTGTACAGGCCGGGACACGAACTGTAATAAATTAACGTTATTGGTGGCATGTCCATTATCTGTTTTTTTAAGCCAGCAAGAGGAAAGCACTTTAAATGTCGTGCTTTTATATAAATTATGAGATAAACCTAACATTGTTGGATACAATGGAAGGCTGCAATGGTAGTGGTGAAAGCATGAATCCTTGTCTCAGCAGCCAACTTGCCACGGCTGCTGGCGATGCCATATTGATGTCTGAAATAACTGGAAAAAACAACTAAATCATAATTCATAATTTGAAAATATAGACTTTGAGACTCTCAACATCCTTTATAAATTACGAGAATACGAAATAAAACTTGTATATCGAAAATCGATATTAAAAATATCAACTTTTGTAAAAACCAACAATTCTCAGCCATATTACGTTTATATTGAATAATTTCAGTCACAACTAATGTCGGTTAAGCGGATGTTGCGAAGATGTCACTCACTAACCGGTTAAATTTAACACTGCTGCCACAACCGTTTATAACGTGCTAATAAATAGTCGAAGTCATAAATATTCAAATATAAATAAATGGGATTTCCGACATCAGAAAATTTGCTTAGCCTTATTTGTAGCATCTTTTCGATACATTGAACGTTTATCATGGGAACGTTCTGCTATACATTTTAGCACTGGAAGTAAAAGCACCTAAACAATTACTAAATCGGAAAATTCCTCAGTCACCTTAATTGTTAAGCATTTGGCTTTATATTTATTTGGTACTTGCCACCGAAACTTCATTTCTACTTATTTTGATCACTCCAAAATTTTAGTTGAAAAATCATGTACTTAATTAAAATATGCGTCAGACGACGCAGCTATAGATATACAACAATTTAGTTTCAACCGGTTAGCTTACGTAAGAAATTAATTAATTTTATCTAAACTGTCTAATTTTATTAAAGTAATCTCAATTTTATGTTATTCGATGCGATGAAAATCCGAATTAAAAAACTCACATGGTACTCTGGCAGGAGCAAAAGACATATTTGGTTGATAAAATCCGGCCAAACCTGGATACTCCATTTTCATCGATTAGAAGTATTGGTTTCTGAAAGGATCAAGTCAACTTGTCGAAATGCTTGAGAACAAAATGAGT